ACAGATATTTGTTTTCAAATTTACCTAACAGGACATTTCAATTTAGTTGAGCTTAAATTTGTAGAAGCGACTGTATTTTATTTTGAAATCTCACTCCGGAAGTTAAACCTCTGCTACAGATGCTCGAACTTTCGTTTAGCTCCTCCAAACCGAGATGGACTGGAATGAAAGCGGCGGTGTAAGTGGCTTTAACCTTTATTAGCTGCTTTCACTTATCCTGTCCTAAGGGTTTAGTTTTTGAGGTTCAGACGTGGCCCACACAATTAGTTAAACTTAGGTCAGTTTAGCAGGATGTTAGCATTAACTAGCTAGGCTACGGTGTAGTTTTAGCCGTTGATGAGTTGCTGACGCGGAATAACCTGTTCAGGTTGAATTAGAAACATTGTTTTTCTTTCACTTACTGTAGTTTTAGTTTTTATTCCTGCATGATAACAAATTAAGTCGTTTAATTAACCAGTCTTAAACGAGAGTGTACGTTTAGCTGGTTGTTTATTAAGCAGTAAGGTTTCTGCTTTGGTTTTGACACGATGATGAACTGACAGCCCACTGATTCCTGAAGGTGTAACCTGCTTTAGAAATGTATTGTTTTTAGAAACCACTCGCTTCCTTTGTATGGCTTTAATGTACAGGAAAATATGCTTTATGCTTTTCCATATGTTGAGGCATGATGGCAGCACTAAACTGCCGTCAGATTTTACATATTCTAATGAGGTCTGACAGAAAGAGAGAGAGAAAAAAAAAAACAGCCTCCAGGAAGTTCACCCCTTTTCCTCTTGAAAACTCCGGAACATGATTTTAGTTCACTGTTTTCCACACAAATTAGTTGTATGTGGTTGAATATTACAAATCCTTTATAACTCCCAAAGGGAAAACCCACATTTGATTAAAAATTAGGATAAATTAATATCAGAATATCAACTTCACCCAGTCAAAGGTGTAGTTATTTACATGCTTGTTGAAAAGCATATATGTGTGTTTATTTTAGCTTGGTGAATTAGCAAAATAAAATGTGGCAATATGGGAAAACTAGGGGTGAGAAGCCAGAGGCCCCTACCATAAAGCAGCAGGATTAGTGGGTTAGTGAGACAACTTCAGGTTTAGCCCTGACTTTCCAGTTTTACAAAGCCTGATCCATTATTTGCTTGGCTAGTCACCATGGTATAGGGTTGGGAATTGATTAGATTTTCACGATTCCGAATCCCTTATCGATTCTTTGAAATGATCCGATTCTCTTATCGATTCTGTGAAACAATGAACTTGGTTAAGTGAACGGTGACATTAGTCTACCTTCGCCTGGGATGTTCTATTTCTGCCTGCCTCTGCAAAAACAGAAGGCAGTGAACAGGAGCTGCCAGTCTCTGAGCCAGCAAGGCTACGCGTCTCTTCACAGTCCTCTAAATCTAATGGAGAATCTAATCTCCCCCTGATTTAAATAAACGAGCATCAACCTTTGTTCAATAACCTCAAAGAAAGCTAGGAAATTGGTTTATTTCCAGAAATGGCACATGATTTACTAGGAACAGCATTAAGCACAGCTAGTGATTTAAAACTCTATATTTTATATAATTCTTATAATTCTGCACGTGCATGATATAAAACTAGCTACTTATCACCTGATTGTAACTTAAGCTTCTGTCCGGAAGCATCAAAAACACGGCATTCGTTAAAATGTATTTCATGTTGTGTGCGCAGGTGTTTCTGCATGTTGGATGTATTTTCTCCCACGGATGTAATTGCTACTTTGCAATGATTGCAAACTGCCTTGTTGCCATCTTTCTCTTCCTTAAAATGAAGCCAAACTTTCTATCGCTTTGACCGCTTTTGTTTTGCTTTTCTAGACTTAATGCCTGGTCACGTCGTACTTGCTTACTGTGAAAAATGTGACGTATGTCGTGCTGCCCAGCGTTAGGCTCTGATGCTGCCTGGAATCGTTAAGAGAATCATTAAGCGAGCTGCCAAACATGGAATTGGAACACACAGAACCGGTTCTGAACAGGAACCAGTTTTCGATTCCCATCCCTGGTAACATATTCTAAATGTGAATCCTACTCCAGGGAAGGCTAGATTTCAGTATAATCTGAACCCTATAAAACCCCTTCAGCCAGCAGCCAATCAGCTGTTTGGGAAACAATGACGCTCTTTGATTAAAAACCTGATTTAATTTAGAGTTTTAAAACAAAACTTAAACAAAACAACATCACAATAAAGGAACTTGTAAACTAAAACACAGGTAAAATAAAATGTGTTATTGACAAATTTAACAGATTTCAGCAATGCATTTCTTTATTTTTAGTTTTCCTCCTTTTTAACACACTAACCTTTACCTGTAGCAGTTTTCTCCTGTGTAAAGTCCTAAATGCTGAAATTCATTGTTTTTTTTTATATAATTGTTAAATGAAGCTTAAAAAAAGAAGAAAATAAATACTATGAAGTCTCATTAAAGTAGAAAATACATTAAGGTATTTCTGTACATTTAGGGTTTAATTTGAGGATTTCCACCATTCTAAAAGCAGAGGAGATTTTCACCATTTGTCCCACTGAGTTGAGACTTATTGTTATTCAGCTTTATTGTAGCTGAAACCAGAATGCCACGTCTTTCATGCCGCCATCATGTTTGACTTTTCATTGAGACTTTTGTTTTTTTTTCCCTCTTTATATTTCTGTATGATGTGTTTTTGTTCCTCAAAGGAGAAATACGATGCTCTCTCTTCTCTTCTCATAATTTTGAATGGTCTGCTAACTTGAACCTGCCCCTTTACACGTTCACCAATCATGATTAGTTTAAGCTGTATTGAGTTAGGAAGTTCATTACCAGCTGCGTTGTACCACTGATCCTGATTGCCGTTATTGTGGATGCTTACCAGGAACAGGAGATTAATCAGATTGTATCTTAATCAATGAATTAGAGCAATATTTGTTTCTATGAATGATCCATTGGTTTATCACCGACTGCAGCTTTCCTCAGTACCTAAAGTATGTTCATAGCAGGAGGTAGATGTGGTTTCTTTCACAAGTTTTAGGTCTTCCAGAGGGTTTCCCCCCCAGTTAGATGTTTCCACCCCCTGTGAGGGAATGCTTCAATTCCTGAACTACCTTACCTGGCTGTCTCCTTCAGGAATATAGAGTTCAAATTTGTGGAGCTGCCAGATAACCAAATGAGCCAGCAGAAAGTGTATGTTTTCCAAATGGAATTCAACTGTAATCAAGCAATTGATTGAGAACAAGTCGAATACTATGGTTTTCTAATTTCTTATGAAGTAGCTCTGGTTGCAAACAAAGGCTTTCCAATTAAAATATTGGACCTTGCTGGCTTATTATATTCAAATTCTGTGTCTTACAATTTGCTTTTGGTCTGTTTGTTTGTAAATGTAAGTGCTTTGACTATTTACCATAACGCGATCAGGTGGCTGGAAGTATGATATTAAGCATGCATGCAACAAGTTACTCCTGGTGGAGGTGTAAAAAAAAATCAGGGAAAGTCTGAAATGAAGTGTGGAAAAAGGGTTAAACAGTATTCCATGTCAAGAGAGGTAACACACCAGTATAGGTTAAATACAATAGGAATTTTAGTGTTCACTGAAGTGGGAGCTAAAGCTGCATAGTTGATGGATGTGCATGTTTGTTTGCTTGCTGGAAAGCTTCCTTTTAGGGTCAAAGTACCAGGACAAATTCTGGACTTAAATTGAGTTTTCTTGCTGCAAAAATAGGAGATAATTTGGCACCTTTCAGATAAATATAAATCTGTATTAAAGGTTTTTTCTTAATTTGTGAAGAAATACATTAAATATCCTGTTTTGTTTGTTTTTTTTCGCCATTTTTAAGTAACAAATGAAAGCCTGTCTTTGTGCATATGATACAAATGTTAAATTAACTCAAACTATTACAGATTAAACTTCATATCTCCTTCTTAAAAAGAAACAAAAGAGATGTATTGTTTCTGTTTCTAAAAGTAATCTATTAAAGGCATTAATCACCAAAGGAAAAAAAAATCTCTAAAAATATCAGTAATTCATCTATTTTCACCTCTATATTTTTTTGTAGTGTTCTTCTTTCAGTCATGGCATCTCTTTAAAATAAAAGTCATGTTTGTTAAAATAAAAAAGTGGCATAATCATTTTTTTATCCAAACAAAATGTATTAAGAGCTGTGCTTCAAATAAACCTTGAACAAATAATTTCTACAAGACGTTGCCTAACTATTCAAGTTTTCTTTTTCTGCTAACTAGCACATGCTGTAATACTTGAACTGCTAAAGTTTTATCAATACATCTTCCCTTTCTAGAGTCAACCTAAAGAATTTAGTGCGAAGGAGGGGCCCAACGCTCCTTTTGCAGAGTCAACTGAAGTGTTGAGCAATTTTCTCACCCGTGTCATTCATTGGATTGATAAACTATTCAGCTTGTTTACACTGAGTTGTATGGTGGCTGTCTGCTCGGAAGGTGAAGTCATCCATTGTGTCATTATTCTTCCAGAGAGCACAAAGTGTACTGGAGAAAAGGGCAAAACCTGTGGAAAAATGTTTTATATGGTTGTTTCGGTACAGTAAAGCTCAGCCTAACGTAAACCTGTCCATCCTGTAGCGTAATTTTATCTGTATTGCATTTTTTATTCACTGTCTTTAGGAGGTGAAAGATCTGATCTATATTTCCTCTTTTCATCACTTGATTGTTTCCTGTTAAAGCCTTCCTGGGTCTGATCAGTTTGTTTTGTTTGGCTTTTGTTGCAGGGTCACAGCCACACGCATGACGGCTGTCACCACGGCCACTCTCACGGGCCTAGAGGAGCGGGCCTCGGTGGGATGACCAACATGTACATGCCTGCGTACGGACAGATGGGAATAGGTTCGGAACCGGTCTTAGATATCAGTCAGCAGCCGAAGAAACGATCCCAGATGGATGACAGCAGCAGCTGGGACATTGTGAAGGCCACACAGTAAGTGGTCAGATGTTAACTGTGGTTTTTTTTTTTTTTTTTTTTTTT